AGCATTTTATGATAATTCCTAAAATCGATCAAACTTCTCCTCTGTATGAAACTCGACTTAGGAGAGTTGTATGGGCATCATTCTTCCCCACTCGGTAAAATCTCGTAGGTCAAGTTAGCTTTCGAACACGGATTATCTTCGTCATCATCCGGGTCAATCACATAAATATCAACAACATCGAAAATAGAAGTATAGTCAAAGACCCCATAAGTCCAAAAATCATAGTACCCACTTTATATATACGTTTTGAAATTAGATGAGGGATTGGGACACATCAATTCACAGAAAATGTGTGAACTAAATCAAGCCAAGAATGATGAGAAGATTCAACCCCATGTGTGTGTGTTCTAAGAGGGAGAGATTCTTACGGTTCTTGTCTGCATCCCAAGTAGTCCATGTGAAAGGATGTGCCAAGGGCAAGCGAACTAAAATAGGGTTTAGGGCAAAGAGAAAAGGCCAATCTCCTCTCAAAACAAGACATGGAGGCTCCGACAAAGATTTGGCAGTACGGACCAGGCACCACACATTCCTCCCTCTCACAATCCACGTAAACCCTAAATAGAGAAACTTTCATCTCTCTTTCTTTCTTTTTTTTGGTAAATTATAAAATTTTCTTTTTAAAATTCTTTGTTTAGGTGGCTCGGGTTTTAAGGGTTTCTTTGTTTGTTTCTTGTATTGAAACGCGGTTATTCTCTTATGCATAGGGCACTACATAAAAAAGATCTACAGCAGCTATTTTTTTTTTAATTATAACCATAAAACAATTCAAGAAAGAATGTTTGTACTTGTCTTGTAGCTGTCGTTTTGTAATACCTTAGGGAAGAACGAGGGAATGTTCCTCGTGAAATGCGACGAGCCTGCCAACATAGACTTCAAACCTTGATTCTTTCAGGTCTGAGCTATACTACTGTCCCATCCCATGTGAGATTTTCGTTTTGATTTTCCTTCAATTTATTGGAATTATTGCATATGAAATTGGTGGTTGTGTCGTGACTTGTTTAAAATTGGTGACTGATTGATTGGTTGATTTGATGGTTGAATTTAGAAGACCATATAATACACATTTTGACCCTTATAGAACCCCTTCACATTACTCATCAAATTAAATTAAGTCATTGTCGAAAATATTATGATCTATTACGCAACTTAATATTTAAATACTCTAATGAAACTGAATGTCATTTTCCCTTCGTCCCTTTCGGTATCGTCCGAGTTCTAGATGATCACCTCTTGAAAAACGTGGTGGGTCATCTTCGCTCTCCAATATCTCTCGTCTCGCTTTTGTGTCCTCAAAGTTGATTATCTCTCAATATTGTTCATGCATCAATTTATCTTGCCGTACACAGCTATAAGCAAACAAACGGATATGGTCAATGGCACATCTGTTCATATTCTTCTTTCCCTGGTCAAGTAGATGGCAACAACTAGAACATGACCAAGATCACAACTTTCACAATCCTAGTTATCATTTTTGCCTCTGCCCGCCCTCAATAGTTTATCGCCGTCTTCAAATGATTAACATAAGCGGCATACCTTATTTGCATGCTGATGAAATAAAGACACCATCAGTGGTTATTAAGGTTGCTCGTGGCGAAACTTTTCTCCGTACAAACAATGTTTCCAGCAAAACCGATTCATCTATAACTAATTGTAGCTCGGCGATTTCGACGGAAGATTGTTATAGAAGAAATGCATGTCAATTAGAATCAAATCAACGTATAATCTAGTTAGTCCTAGAACCTTATTTTTCCTCCTGTCTTGTCCTCATTTAGAGATTCAATTAGTGATACGAGAATTCCGTTTCATCGTTTCCTTCTACACGACCTCGCACGATCATAAAGCAGACACGACAACGGAAAATGTCGTGATAATGGCCTTTAAAAACCCTAAAAAAAGAAAAACAAAGCATGTAAAAAGCTGAAAGAAGTGAGCTCTTTTGATTTTAAAGGAGTTTGGCAGTTTTCGTTTTCCTCGAATTGCTTTTAGTGTTATTCACGTTTTCTCGTAATTTTCGTTCACGTCATTTTAGTTGGAAAGTGGTAGTGCGTACTTTAAATATGACAAGTCTTTGTCTGAATTGTCAAAAAAAAATTATGAAAAGGCTAAAGCAGAATAAAAAATTCTAACGTCGTAAATCTACTAACTCTATTTTATCACCTAATTAAACACGAAGTAACTTTATAGGAGGTAATGAAAAGAAACTAATATCCAATCACTTATCGATTCCAAGATTAGCAAGCCAGTCAGCAAAGCGATTTCTTTCCCGAAAGTTATATTACACTTTAAACTCAAAGTGAGAGCACAACAATCTTATGATATCTTTAAGCAAAGTAGGGTCATCATTATCGATCATAAGCTCTGGACTAACAAGATCATCTATGGTTTTAGAGTCAATTTCAATGACGATCTTATGGAAACCAAGTTGTTTTGTGAAGTTGAGTCCCAACCACAAAGCCCAAATTTCTGTTTGTGTCGATGAATATATTCTTACGAATGCGGCAAAACCACCCAACTAGTCACCCCTTCGTTTTTAATAAACCCTCTGCACCAACAAGCCCTAGGTTGCCTTTAGAAGCACCATCGGTATTCAGTTTAATCCACTAGGAAGGTAGAGGATCCCATCTGACCAAAATCGGAGAAGTGCATGATCTACTTAACGTCAAGTTATTCATAAACAAAGCTTTAATGATTTCCTTTGTGTATGACCGAATTACTTGTACTGGATTCAAAGGGAAACAAAGTTGTCTTGGAAAAGTGACTTGTTTCTCCATTGCCAAAAAAGCCACACACCTACTCCAAAAATTACCTCCATTCATGATGAAAATTCGATCGCTTTTTACCAGTGAGATTTGAATTCAACCCTCGTGGAATTGTTGGTTTTATCTTATAAGGCTACGTTTGGTAGTCTGGATAAAATTCGGGATAGAATAAATTTTATCATATCCCGTGTTTAGTGCGTGCTCAAGATAGGATAAAGTCAGATATAGGAGGGATATAGCCAAGATAAAATTATCCCATGGGGGAGGTGGGATAAAGGTGAATAAGATTTCTAATATCCATAATATAAAGTTCTTTTCTCGAATAACAAACTTATTAAATTAATAAAATTAAAATAATATTTGAATATAAATAATATTTGAATTTTAATATAAAAAATTCAAAATAACAAAAAAATAACAATACATTCATTTTTATTTATTCTTATTTTTTATTTATATATTCAAATTTCTTTCTATCTTATGATAAAAATTTCATATATAAATATACACATTTAGTATATATATTTATTACATATTTTAAGCATATTTGTATAGTTTACTATTTAATAAAATTTTATTAGAGAATGATGGAAGGGGAAGAAATAAAAAAGAAAATAATTAAAAAAGAGAGGGAAAAAAATAGGTAAGAGTGTCGTGAGAAATTTTTATTATCTCCGTTTGTGTAATTTTTAGGTTCATTTACATTAATATAACGTTCATAGCAAATAATGGACATAGTAATATGTGAAAATATCTGACTTTATTACTGCGATTCACCAAACGTAGATAAGATGTAGTAATTCCATTGGATTTCATATCATATCCTATCCAATCCTATCCTGACTAGAAATCTGGACGACCAAACGCAGCCTAAGTGTATATAGTTAGGAGCATGAGAAAGTGTTTTTCCAAAAACAAACTTAGAAAAAGAGCACACGTGGAGAAAAATAGTGACAAATATTTCAAATTACTAAAGAATAGAATAGTGTTAAATATATGATCTGTTTTCGTAATAGAACTCAAAATTTCTGTAAAACCGGAAAGATGCAGATTCACGGAACACATGGAATTTATGTTATTCCAAATTTGAGGTGATGGATTCATGGATTACTTGATAATTGTTTTGATTATCTTCAAAAACCAGAATAGGTTCAACGAACGGTTGGCCTCGGACTCAATTTCCGCACGATGCCACCTTGTTCTCTCCGGCCCTAGGACACCAAGTCAAGTTACAATGAGATCCATGGTCCGTTGTATCATGTCCATAGTGTGTCGTATGCATCGAATTATTGCTCTAGATTCTATTGAGATATTTCGAGACGACGAACAACCATTGACAAAGCCTATGCCACTTGAGCTTTGTCAGGTTGTCGCCATTACCGCTTTCATTAGACATAGTGTTCCTATGATCTTCCAGTCTCTAATACCACCCGACGCAGTTTAAGTGAGTAAGCAAAACTTGCAAACGCATACTTGAAGCGTCCATGCGCAAAGCACATAAAATGAAATCTCTTGATTTTTTTAGCCTTTTTTAAAAGAGGCGAAACTTCATAACATCACATGAAAGTAAAACACATTTTTTACGCCTAAAATCCTAACCATAGAAATTGCTACACATTAAATAACAAGAAACCAAAACCCAAATAATAACAAAACCCTAATAAAGCTAAAAGTTCGAACCAGGAAACTAAATCATGATGAGATAAACTAGAAAATCCTAAAAAAAGTAATCTATAAAGTCAATCAAATACAAAAAAAATAAGTACCTAATTCAAAAACTCTTAATTTATAAAATAAAAAATCTAGATCAAATCTTGATGTGCCCCGCATCACTTCACATACTTGTATATCAAATTCTGCGAAATGTTTGAAAAAAGAAAATCACTTGTATGAAAAAAATAAGGGTAAGCAAGGAACTAGGGTTCCCGCCTCACCACCACATGCAAGACCCCTGAGCACATAGTGTGGAGCAAACATAAACTCAGAGTGATCATAGTCTGTCCAAATTAAAAAAATGGTCTCCCCTTACAATAATTAAATCAAAATTCCCACTACACCTTTTTCTGCCCACTTTGAGAAAAAGCAAAAGTAGAGAAAAAGCTAAAGAAAAAAAGAAAAACAATAAAAAGGAGAGGAAGATGGTAAAAGGCAATAAAGAAAAGAAAGAGAGAGAACACACAAAGACAAAAGTTTCTCAAACCTCCATGATTTGAATTCTCTCGCTTCTTCAACCCCTTCTCCTCTCTCTCTCTCTCTCTCTTAATCAAGAGTGGTGAGAAAGACCCACATCTCTCTCTCTCCCTCCTCCTCTCTCCAGCTTCTACAAAGGCCTTGTTGGGAGCTTTGAAGAAAGAAAGGAAGAAAGAAAAAAAGAAAGAGAAAAGGCAAAGAAAGGAGACAAGGGCATATATAATTAGGGCAAGAGTTTTTGTTAAGTGTGAAGAGAGAGATTGGTTTTTGTTAGGGTTCAATCAAAGGCATGAATAGAGGAGTGTTGCAGAGCTCATCACCAGTGCAGCAGCAGATGATGGCAAACCCTAATAGTTGGTGGAACATCAACAGCATGAGAGCTCCAAGCCCACAACAAGCCACACCTGCTAGTTACTTCCCAAATATTCCTCCTTATCATTATTCAAATCTCTTTCCTCAGTACATGCCCACCAATCCTTCTTCACTCCTCGCCCCTTCTTGGCTTGAAAATAGTAGCCAGGAGCATCAGCAGCTTCCAGCTGAGTCCTGGAGCCAACTACTCTTGTAAACATCTCTCTCTCTCTCTCTCTCTCTCTCTCTCTCTCTCTCTCTCTCTCTCTCTCTCTCTCTCTCTCTCTCTCTCTCTCATATGCGTTTGTTTGTTGAGGATTTGTATACCTTTCTTTTGCTATGCATATTTCGATCCACAGAACGGTAGCTCATGGGTGGATCCATGTCCGGCATGTCGGTTTCAAAAGACTAGTTGACTCGACTTGCAAAACTTTACGATAATAAACCGAATTAATTGGTGGCAAGAGCATGCATGCAGATCATCTATCCCTGCGCATCTCGCATGATTTTTCTTCTTTTTGTATGATTTTGCATATCTCCATACAAATCTTCTCTTCTTAATGTTAACTAGCTAGCTAGTCAACCCATGCTTTTGTCCTTGTCTACATCGATCTTCAACTTAGACATGTAAATTCAACCTCGCCACATTGTTAATTAACTCCATACCACGCCAATGGATTTCATGATTACTTCCATTGATTATGGAATTTGCAACAAAATATTGCACAAGTTTATGAGGATGATCTCTTATTTTCCTTTTGACCCTTCCAAATCAAGGGGTGGATTGGTGATTGAAGAAGACAAGAGTGCCTTGACCCATCTTCAAGCGAAGAGATTAGAGAATTGGGCGGATCAACAAGTACTAGAGCAGTCTCAAATTGATGTGAAGCAAGAGAATTCCTCAAGCAGCTACTTGTACGGACATGCGACAAGTGAAGACTTCCATGGATCTAAATCAGCTGTTTGGCCTACCACTACTCTAACCACCGCGGCTTCATCTCCGAAATCGTGTGTCACGAGCTTTAGCAGCAACTTGCTGGACTTCTCATACAAGAAATCTGACGGCAATAAGCATCCGGTGCCGGATCAATCTTCCGAGGTGAGATTATGCTGCCATTTTGCATAAGAATATAGACGCGTACTTCGATGAAGAACAAATCTGTACAAAAAGTTACTCATTATAATGAATTTGTGGAACCTCATCAAGCATTTAAAAAAAGCTAAATGATTAAAGTGGGTACAGTCACGCTTCTCTGCAATATATTTGAATTATTCTTCCATTACTTAGTGAATTAGGGATGGGTTTCGAGATCTGTCTTCACCTTTCCTCTTTTAATTGGATAAAGGCGCCGAAAAAAGAGTTTGAAATGAATAATTGATGGTTCATACATCATTCGCTTTTTTCTCTGTCTTTACTATATACAATAAAGCCTATCATTAAGAAATTTTTTTCTTGAAATAATTAAGCGGTTCACAATGTATAACAGAAATATTCTTTTAATACTTTCAGTTCGTTGCACATAAGATTTTCAAAGGCAACTTCCGCTTACCGTGTTTATTGAGAGTGGCCAGGTCACATACAGTTCTGATTATGTTTGTTTAACTTCTTCCTTTTGTTTTTGGTCAGTGTAAAAGCAGTGCAACAGGTGGGGCACAAAAGAAAGCCAGGACTCAACCTTCTTCTGCCCAATCTACCACCTTCAAGGTAATGGCCATGGACTCTCTCTCTCTCTCTCTCTCTCTCTCTCTCTCTCTCTCTCTCTCTCTCTCTCTCTCTCTCTCTCTCTCTCTCATCCCCACACACACAAAAGCACACACAGCTATCTAACATGTGTGTGAGTGGACTGTTGTCTTTCTCGGTTGTCGACTTGTTCAAATCCTTATTCCTCTTCCGGTTATGCCTTGTCTATATGAAGTCATATGTCAATGGGAAAGAAAATAAAGAATTCAGCAAGAAAAATCAAATTGTAAAATGGGATAACACCAAACCCTAACAATGGGGCTAACTCATCCCATTTCCATTATATTGACTTGATTTGAACCAGGTGAGGAAGGAGAAATTAGGTGACAGAATCACTGCTCTGCATCAGCTCGTTTCTCCATTTGGCAAGGTAAAAAGCTCAAGCCTTTTCAGTTTAATGACCACCATAACGCACTTCATTTACTCGACAAAATAAAAGCATTAAATTTTTTAAATGCTAGTTTGGAAAAGGAAAAAATCTCATATTTATATGAAAATGTAACTCGATTGCGAACTAGCTGGTACAAAAAAGCAGATTGCATTTTAAATTTAAAGTCACATACTTCCTCTCTTTCAATGTCTTTTTATGAAATTAAGTCCATACAAATCATACCCCCCTGTCTTTAATGGTGGAAAACTCTGGCGAAAGAGACTCTTTCTGCATGTGAAAGCTCTTCTTTTTCTTTCTACATGAGTCCATGACTTTGCAAGTCTTTGAACTTAGGTCTCTTTTCTGTTTTCCTTTTCTTTTTGTGTTACTTTTACTTACGAATTAAAGTATTGAAGAAAGCCAAAAATATGACTTTGGAGGGTTGTGGTGTGGGGGATTTTTGCTCTCTTTTGCAGACTGACACAGCTTCTGTGTTGGCAGAGGCTATTGGCTACATCAGATTCCTTCAAAATCAAATAGAGGTGATGTTTTTCTTTTCTTTTTTCCTTTTATCAATTGCTTTTTTGGAAAAAAAAAAACCCTACTATGACCAAACTGTGAAAGTGAAAGTATCATTCCCAATGTGCTCTTTACTCTTTTTGTTCTTTCATTTATTCTTTTTTGGGTTTTGGGTGTGCTGGAGTTCTGATCTGAACATACTCTCTGAACATCAACAGGCACTTAGTTTACCGTACTTGGGCAATGGATCAGGCAACGTGAGTCACCAACAATCTGTATAATCTCTCTCTCTCTCTCTCTCTCATATGAAGTGAATGCACGTGCATGTTTTTCCAGAGATGTTATAGATCAACTGAATAGAATAACTGATGAGAACCTATTACTTTTCTTAATTGTTTAGGTGCAAAGAGAGAGGAATTGTATATTTCCCGAAGACCCTGGTCAGGTATGCACATGTGCTTCACAAGATCTTGAGCATAATAAAGCTCAACTGGTTTGTTGTTTGAGCTTTTGAACAAATAAAGTTTAACAAGGTTAATAGAGGTCAAAAAAAGAGTATCCACTATATTTCACTCGGTGTTTAAGCGCTTGAACAAAATGTATGGAATCCCAATGAGTTTGGACTCAGTTTCTCTCATGTTCTTGCATCATGTTGAGATGTAAGATTTCATCGCACATCTTTAGACAAGGTGATAATAGATTTCATTGCTCCAAACATTTTGTTATTAACTTAAGCCCCTAATCACGGTAAATTTATCACTGTAAAGCACATGACCAAGTTACATGGGCAACTGGTGTGACAAATCCTTCAGTTGGGTAACTATTTTCTGAAGTGAGACCATTTTGCAGTTTGATCCCTCATAAGTAATGATTAGGACTTTACTTCTTAAACCTTCACTTGTTTTGCACTTAATTTTTGATCTCTCATCCTCATTTTGTGTTTGAATTTGATAATGATTCTAGCACACGACCATAAACTTCAAATTACCCTTGTGTTAATTTTTATAGTCTATTTCAGCTGTGCAGTTACTTAATTATTCAACTCAGTCCCAACACAACAATCAAATTCCGAATTAAGAACAAACGAGGAATATCACTGACCAAAATGGAAGGAACAACATCTTACTAAACTGTGCATGCCATGTTTCTTGAAACTTATGGACTGAACTGCAACAGTCGTCAAACTTTAAAAACCCCATGGATGCAATTCTTCCCATCATTATTCACCCAAGAAACTACAACTATATTCATTCATAGTGTATATACATAATCAACATTGTTACTTTCTAATGCCCCTCACTCCTTTTGCTATTGAGCAGCTGCTGAATGACAACTGCATGAAGAGGAAAGGAGCTTTAGACCAGGTAATAACTTCTGACGTCTACTATATTGTTTTGAAATTAGTCTTAACCCTTCTCATTCTTCTAGCTGTATTGTCATTTGAGTACCAAACGGAAACAAAAAGAAACATCGTTCTGTCAAAAATCAAAGTTTCCTGTCCATATTTTATGTCAGGACACTAATCATGAAGAAGCAAAGGACCTGAGGAGTAGAGGGCTGTGCCTGGTACCAATCTCATGCACAATGCAAGTAGGAAATGAAACCGGAGCTGACTACTGGGCTCCCGCTATCGGAGGAGGATTTCACTAATCAAGCTGGACATAAAGTCTCTAATTAGAACCTGTGACAGCAAATTGGAGAGATTAATGAATCTTAGGTGATTATATAACATCATGAGCAGTCACTCTGCTACAAAAATTTCCCAAGGCTGATTGCTCTTGATGCTATATATATCATGCTTTGGTTTGGTGTAGTCTCTGCTGCCTTGTACTCGGGTGTGATTTTCTCCTTTTTTTTCTTCTTTTTCGAAAAAATAATATTGTCGGATATAATTATGTAGGATTATGTAACCTTTTTACCTGCTGCTATTTAAGTCTGTGCAGGGATCAGTAACTTAGTATTAGTTATCAATCCATCTCTGTCATGATCAAACGTGTCTGTTCTATCTTTCCTTTCTCTTTCCTGTCCTCAGCTTCCTTTTTCCATCAAGAATTGCTCACCGAAGGGTTCTTTTATTGAAGTAGTTTCACTTGCATGACCTAGCCAACGTTTGTACATATGGTTAATGACTATCTAATGGAATTCAATTGAGTCCTAAACCTTACAATTGAACCAATTTAGTCATAAACCTTTAAGGGAAAGTATAATCAGGTCCTTTCGCCCAAGTGTCGACTGATTTATCTATCTTGATAGTCCAATCATCACTTCCTTGATATTCAACAAAATGACGCCATTTTTTATGAGATAAACTGCATCGTTTCTTGGTTGAGCAACTAAAGCCCTAAATGTCCAAATCTCCAAATCAATCCGTCCAATTCCAGCACTAATTCCCTTGAGAAACCCCAATTCCAGTCTTAAAATATAGCTTTTCCATTTTACGCTTTACCCCATTCTCAATGTCTCGCAAAACCTCTATAGGTCATTGTATTGATATCTACACTTACTAATTCATCTCCCCCCTTCCCAAATAGTCAAGCATTGGGCGACGGACGATATTTCTACCGTTGAAAATGCAAATCAATGCTGATTTGTCGTTCATCTCGACCGTATAAAAAAAGGCAATATAAATTTTTTTTCATTGAGGGACCACCAACACATCACATGTGAATAAACCAACATAAGTAGATTAGGGATAAGTGCACTAGAAGTCCTAAAACTTATCACGAAAGTGCAATTGAGTCCTAAAACTTTCAAAAAGTGCAAACAAGTCCTAAAACTTTCAAAAAGTGCAAACAAGTCCTAAAACTTGTCACGAAAGTGCAAACAAGTCCTAAAACTTGTCACAAAAGTGCAAACAAGTTCTAAAACTTTCAAAAAGTACAATCAATGGAAGGACTTGATTGAACCAATTTGACAAGTTTTAGGACTTGTTTGCACTTTCGTGACAAGTTTTAGGACTTGTTTGCACTTTTTGAAAGTTTTAGGACTCAAGTGCACTTTCGTGACAAGTTTTAGGACTTGTTTGCACTTTTTGAAAGTTTTAGGACTCAATTGCACTTTCGTGACAAGTTTTAGGACTTTGAATGCACTTATCCCAATAGATTATAGAAAGACAACACACTCTTGGAGGGACTACAATCACGGTTATACCTTTGACTGATTCTTTGCTTTTCTCCTTGTGTTTTGCAAAAAATTGAAGACGGTGGAGTTCAATGTAAACCTAAAACGACCACTCTTAGTAGTTTATGTTGCAGAATCTTGAGGTCATCTTCATCTTTGCTCCAAATTCTTCCGCCAAGGATGGAGGTTTTCTCAAGGGAATTAGGGACTGATTTGGGGAATGGGGCCGATGGGGCTTTAGTTGCTCGACCAAGAGATGACGCTGTTCATCTAAGCAAAAACAACATCGATAGTTGGATATCAGTCAACATCACGCCACCATTACACTTAGGATGGCCAACAATTACTAGACTGCCACGTCAAATAAATCAGGCAAGACTTGACTGAAAGGACTTAATTGCACTTTTCCTTAAAGGTTTATGACAAAATTGGTTCAATTAAAATATCTATGACTCAATTAAATCTCTTAAAATAGATTAAGGACTGATTGTGCCCCTACTATCTAACTTTTAATTAAAGAAGACTTTGAAACAAGCAAATAAGAGTACATAGACTCATAAAACTATACGCATTTCTTAGGCAAATTCGGCACATTTTGATTGCATGTCATTATAAGATATTCTTATCTAGTAACTGTATTCTGCAGATTTTTCATTGAATTAAGGGTTGTTAAATACGAAAACTTTCATCCTAGTCACCAATGGCTCATTACAATATAGCACTGGTAATTTCTTTCCTATGTATGTGTAGCAATTAAGCAGTACCATCATCGATTAGTTTTCGCGCACTAAGCTGAATTGATTCATCTTTTCCCCACAATCAAAAGTAAACCATCCATTCTTGGAGTAATATGCTTACCGTAATGAATTCCCCGGCACATCGTAATCGGAATCGTAGATTTTATGTAGTTCGAATTGTAGCATTTTGAATTTCCAATACATACAAGCAGATCGGCAAAGTGTGCTTACCACGTTAAATTTCTCGATTCAGAAGTTACCAAATGCAAAATTTGATATTCACGTACGCATCGACCTGTCATTTTCATTAACTCGTTGCCGAATCCGAGCAAGGACACTAAGGTTTGCATGAAAACCATTAGGTTCCGTCCGAACTGGTTTTTTGTTCCGAATCGTTTTGACTAAACCGTTTGAACGCATTTCATTTTTCTATTTCCGGGACAAGTTTGCTTCCAAACGATTTCAAACGAGAAATGAGAACCAAAAAAGTTGGTTTCATTTCGAACAAAAGTGAAACCATTTGAGAATTCATTTTCTTCAATACACATATTCATATAAGTCACGATCTTTGAGGTGAGAAAAAAGCAGAAAATCAAAAATTTCAAAACTTAACAGAATGGTTTAGAATCAGAATCTACCCACTTTTGAAATTTAAATTTTTTAGTGAAAAAATAAATAAAAATAAATAAAAAGAAAAAATTTCAAAATTTCACAAAATGGCTTAGAAAACCTATGGCCACCCACTTTGAGCAAAATTTAATTTTTTTAATTGCCAAAAAACAAAATAAAAAATAATAAAAAATTCTAAAATTTAAAAACTTAGAATATCTTAGAATACTTGCCACCTAATTTGAGCGAAATTTTATTTTTTTTAGGTGCCCAAAAAATAAAAAAAAGCAAAAAATCAAAAATTTCAAAACTTCATAAAATGGCTTGAACACTTGTGGCCATCCACTTTGAGTGAAATTTAAATTTTTTAGGTGCCGAAAAAAAAAAAAAAAATAAAAAATTTCAAAACTTCACAGAATAGCTTAAAATATCTCGCCACCCACTTTGAGTGAAATTTAAATTTTTTATATACCAAAAAAATAAAAATAAGCAAAAAATTAAAAATTTCAAAACTTTACAGAATTGGCTTAAAATGTCAGCCACCCACTTTGAGCTAAATTTTATTTTTTTAGTTGCCAAAAAAAATAAAAATAAATAAATAAATAAAAAATTTCAAAACTTCACAAAATGGCTTAGAATACCTGTGGCCATCCACTTTAAGCGAAATTTAAATTTTTTTAGGTGCCGAAAAAAATAAAAAAATAAAAAATAAAAAACTCCACATAATTGCTTAGAATACTGTGGTAGTATCCACTTTGAGTGAAATTTAATTTTTTTAGGTGTCGAAAAAAAATAAAAATAAGCAAAAAAGAAAAATTTTCAAAACTTCACAGAGTGGGCTTAGAATACATGTGGCCATCCACTTTGAGTGAAATTTAATTTTCTTTAAGAACCAAAAAAATAAAAAAATACCATTTGGGCATCTAAAAAAATTAAATTTTACTCCAAGTGTTTAGAGAGGTATTGTAAGTATTCAGTGAAGTTTTAAATTTTGATTTTTTGCTTTTTTCTCCTCCAAAATTAAAATTTCACTCAAAGTGGGTGGCACAAGTATTCTAAGCTCATTCAGTAAAGTTTTGAAATTTTTGAGTTTTTAATTTTTTTGGGCACCTTAAAAATTTAAATTTCACTCAAAGTGGTGCCACATGTATTCTAAACTATTCTGTGAAGTTTTGAAATTTTGATTTTGATTTTTTAGACCTAAAAAATTTAAATTTCACTAAAGTGGGTGGCCTGGTATTCAAGAATTCGTGAAGTTTTGAAATTTTTGATTTCTTGATTTTTTTGAAAAAATTCAACAAATTTCCTATTTTTCTGAAATCTAAAATTTTTTTATTTTCTCGACATTTTGATGATTTTTTCTGGAATTTTTCAATTTTTTGGGATTTTCTGAATTTTTTAAAGATTTTTATGAATTTTTCGGATTTTTATTATTTTTATTCCATTTCTAAAAAAATGGACTTTTGTTCCTGGAAATAGAATTTTCTATTATTTATCAAACGGGTTTTTATTTCAGGAAATAGAAATTATGTGCTGTTATCAAACGGGTTTCTGTTCTAGAAATAGAAATTGTTGGTCATTATCAAACGGGTTTTTTTTCTCAGAAACTCATCCAGGAACCAGAAATAGAAAAATCTATTTCTGGTTCAGGAACTCATTCCGGAACAGAATGGTTATCATGCGCACCCTAAACAACTTAAAGTCACGCTCACTCCTTCTCATACCATGTTTAGTTTGTTTTTCAGTTTTCGTTTTTCATTCCGCTCCATTCTAAGGTACCGCATGATAACCATTCTGGTTCTGTCCAGAACTGGTTTTTTGTTCCCAGAATCAGTTTTGGACCAGAAACCCGTTTGTTAACGCAATTTCATTTTTCTATTTCTGGGACAAGTTTTTGTTCCAGAACCGATTCTGAACCAAAAATCAGAACCAAAAAAAAGTTGGTTTTTCGTTTCTTGAACAAAACTCAGAACCATTTCTGAGGAACAAAGGTCAGAATCATTTCTTAAAAAAAACATGTCTGTCTCTCGTCTCCTCTCATCTCTCTGATCTGGAAGCCCGTCTCTCTCTGTACTCTCTCTCTCTGTCGGCGTCGAGAGGAAGCCAGGGCCGCTCGCTCGCTCGCTCCTGCTCCATGTAAGCTCCGATCCTGCGCTGGATCTCCTCTCATCTCTCTCTTTTCTGGATTTGGAAGTTGCCGTGATCGGGGGTCGGCTCGGCCTCGCCATGGCCGCCGGTCGAGTTCGCAGTCGCCCGAGATGCGGCGACGGCGAAGGCTGACCATGACATTTCACCATTTCGATGGAGGTTTTTTCCCCCTTTTTTTTTTGTTCGTTGAATTTCGAAATCCTTAATTTTTACGGAATGGGTGCGTGCGAACGAGGTTGACGTCTCGAAAAGTCGCCGGCTTTTTTACGTGGTGGGTTTTTGCTCGCGCGCAGGGCCTTCATATCTCCTGCAGGAAGAAAGATCGTGAAAGAGATAGTCGCCACCCCTACAAGGTTGTCGAGATCACCCCTCCTCCCAGGAGTCTCGGCGTACGTTGCTTTCCCTCGGTAAGTTTGGGGAAAATTCGGTTGTTTTTAGTGTTTGATTCGGGGGCTGATGCTGTCGTGATTGCTTTGTATGTGTCCCCTGTTTTTTCAGTTGATTGAATTGCTGTCGTGGGATTTTAGAGTGTAACATGATCTGTTGGGCGTTCGCAAGTCAAGGCGATCGAAGCGAACTTTGTATGAAAAATTCGATATTTTAAGTTATCTCTTCCTTCGGCCATGGCGAGGCCGCTCGGCCTCCCCCAGATCTGGGTTAGAATACAAATATTGATGAACCATTTGTGTCATTTTTAAAGTGATTGCGTGAGGGTAAGAAAATGAGTAGTATATACTAGGAAGTGATTGAAGTGAGAAGTTATTGGAGTTATGTTAACTACGTTTCGTTCTTTAATGCAAGGCTGATTTTGGAAAGCTAAAAGTGAGACAAAACCCATTATTAATATAGATAGTTCTTTCTTTGCACTTTTGAATGAGCCATCCTTTCGCTGATATTTGCAGCATAAGAGTTCAAAACTTGATGAGGTTGGTGTGATAAAGGTAGCTGGCTGAGAATGTGGCATGCTGTCGCTCAAGTATTAGTCTTTAGATGTTAACAGCAGCTTGGAGGGATTTTTGTCCATTCAGATTACTTGAGGTATGCATAGATAAAGTGCCTTGTAACTCGATGTTGCTTTGATTTGCTTTAAATTTCGGTTTTGACTGATTGGACAAAATAGTATTTTCTGTGGGCTGATTTCACATTAATTATTATAATCTGGATTATAATTAAGAGGAAATTTTTGTTTCAAAAGGGACTTAATACCTCCTCATGGTTTGATGAAATATTGCCTGATTTTCTTAAACCGTGGCAATTGGGATAATCAGTTATTAGAAGCTGAGTGTAGTTACTACATGCTGATGTAGCTCAATTATTGTTATTATTCATGTCATATGCACTCAGGGATGGATGCGGGCGCAAAAATACAGGGAAAATGGATGTTATATTTTGTTGACAATAGTCTTGGAAGGATTTGGTAGAGAGAGAAAGTGAGAGAGAGAGCTTGGCGGTAAAAAACAGGTGGACCATGGCAGATATAGAGCTTATAATTGAAGTAGGCTTGGGGGGGTGGGGAGGCGCATGAGCCCAATGTTTCACATAGTTGAACCACCAGTTGTACAAGCCTATGTATAAGTAGAAGGCTTTTCACAATTCTTGGGGGACCATGGCCCCTACGGGGCCCCTCTCGGATCCATCATTATGTGCCCTTTTGCAGTTGGCTTGGTTGTTAATGCAGATGGAGAGTTGATTGATAGATGTGCCGACAGCAAAGGTTTTGGATTTAGTCGTTGGATTCCTCTGCAGGATATCTCCAGGCTCCAGCTATGAAAATAGATTGCGTGTGTTTTTGTGTTAGGAGTAAGTTGCTCGAGGATGCTTGTTCCCTTTGGCGGCCCCTGAAATAATATCTCAAGTCTATCCTTGAGCCTGCAGCAGCTTCTCCTCTTGCAGAACTGATCTGATTGCTGTTCTTGAAGAATCGGTAGAAATTGCTTGCTGTAGTTTTATTTACCTTACCACTTGAGCTGTTCGTGCATCCTACATTTATGCGAGTAATTTAGTTGCTTATCCATAACGGGACACGTAGCTTTCAAAATACTTTTCATTATGACAAGACAAGGTGGCAGTTATCATGAATTTCAACCGTTGGTGAAACTTCGTTGTTGTTTTGAGCTCTTCCTGGGCAGAAGGAAAAACTCACAGGTCTTGGCCTCCTTGTGCAGGTCAAATGTCGGTGGGCAGGAGTATAACCTGCAGACGACAGAGATTGCCGGAAAACGGACTCTGTTTTTAAAGGAGGGCTTTGTAGATCTCATGTGCTCTCCTCACTCTTTGTGGCTAATTCGACGTCGAAGATTCAAAATTTTTTACATTTAATTATCTGTTTAGGAGATGCTTAGTGCTGTGAATAGATCATCAGCTTTTTGGACTGATGAATAGGATTTGGGAATAAGTGGGGATGTTGTGAATGCTTTTATCTTTCCCCTTATGTTGATGTAAATGACTCTTCGTCTCGTCAATTGTTGACAACTTGTAAATGTGAGGTCTTATGGTGGCATGTCATCAAATGAACTATTCATTTTTGTAAGATTATTAGTGGAAAGCTTTGTGTGCGCGATGCGTGGTGTTTAAAGTTGTGTTCGTTCAAGTGGTCCTACAATGCTGTAAAATCGATGTAAATTCAATAAAACGTTGTGTCCGTATAGTGTTTATTTAAAATATGTATTATCGTTTGAGCAAACACAGGAACTTTTGCCTAGCACTAATGGTTGTTCGGTTTTTGATTCCGCAAGGGTTACGTTCCTAAAGTACATTTGCTTGATCGTGTTTGTTGAGGGACTCGTAAATCTATGTATGACTTGGTGGGATAATGTCAATATCGTAAATTTAGAAAATTATGAATCTGCCATTTAATTTGTATGTCTATTATTAATTATTTGTATTTCTAAAAGAAAAATGACACAAATGGTTCATAAACTTTGATTGATGTACAATGTATTTCTAAAAATTCGATGTGCTTGGTTTACTTTTCTCCATAAGCATTTGGGATATTATGAGGAACGATGCATACTCACAAATATTGAGAGCAAATATCGAGAGCGATGGTGGTTGAATGCTGAAGACCCGTTCCAGTGCTTGGCCATTTGCATTAATTTGACTGGAATTTGTGTGCGGGCGTACGTAACGTTACGAATCCAACGTAAAATTTAATTTCAAAACTTCACAGAATGGCTTAGAATACCTGTGGCCACCCGCTTTGAGCGAAATTTAATTTTTTTTAGGTGTCGAAAAAAATAAAAAAAATGAAAAATTTCAAAACTTCACAGAATGGCTTAGAATACTTGTGGCCACCTATTTCGAGAGAAATTTAATTTTTTTGAGATTCCCCAAAAAAATAAAAAAAAATCAAAAATTTCAAAACTTCATAGAATGGCTTAGAATACCTGTGGCCACCCACTTTGAGCGAAATTTAAATTTTTTTAGCTGCCGAAAAAAAAATAAAAAAATTTCAAAACTTCGCAGAATGGCTTAGAATACCTGTGGCCACCCACTTTGAGTGAAATTTAATGTTTTTTTAGGTGACGAAATAAAAATTAAAAAAGCAAAAAATCAAAAATACCATTTGGGCACCTCAAAAATTTTAAATTTCACTCAAAGTGAGTGGCTAGAAGTATTCTAAGCCATTATGTGAAGTTTTGAAATTTTTTATTTTTTATATTTTTTTTGCACCTAAAAAAATTAAAATTTTGCTCAAAGTGGGTGGCCACAAGTATTCTAAGCCATTCTGTGAAGTTTTGAAATTTTAAATTTTTTAATTTTTTGATTTTTTTTTGCACCTAAAAAAATTTAAATTTCGCTTAAAGCGGATGGCCACAGGTATTCTATAAAACATTCTGTGAAGTTTTGAAATTTTTCACTTTTTGATTTTTTTTTCGGCACCTAAAAAAATTTAAATTTTGCTCAAAGTGGGTGGTCACAGGTATACTATAAGCCATTCTATGAAGTTTTGAAATTTCTAATTTTTTTATATTTTTTTGGGGAATCTCAAAAAAATTAAATTTCTCTCGAAATGGTTGGCCACAAGTATTCTAAGCCATTCTGTAAAGTTTTGAAATTTTTAATTTTTTTAAATTTTTTTGGGCATCTCAAAAAAATTAAAATTTACTCAAAAAGTGGGTGGCCACAAGTACTCTAAGCCATTTTGTGAAATTTTTTATTTTTTTGGGCACCTCAGAAAATTTAAATTTTACTCAAAGTGGGTGCTACAGGTATTCTAAGCAATTATGTGAAGTTTTGAAATTTTTGATTTCTTGATTTTTTTTTTGAAAAAATTCAACAAATTTCCTATTTTCCCGAAATCTGAATTTTTTTATTTTCTCAACATTTTGATGATTTTTTCTGGAATTTTTCAATTTTTTTGGATTTTCTAAATTTTTTTTGAGATTTTTATGAATTTTTCGGATTTTTTAATTATTTTTATTCCATTTCTAAAAAAATGGATTTCTGTTCCTGGAAATAGAATTTTCTGTTGTTTATCAAACGGGTTTTTGTTTCAGGAAATAGAAATTTTGTGCTGTTATCAAACGAGTTTCTGTTCTAGAAATAGAAATTTTTTGTCGTTATCAAACGGGTTTTTTCCTCAGAAACTCATCCTGGAACCAGAAATAGAAAAATCTATTTCTGTTTCAAGAACTCATTCCGGAACAGAATGGTTATCATTCGCTACCTAAGTAGCCAAACTGGCGTCGAGAAAGGAAACATCAGGTCTTCTTCTCATGTTTCGCTGAATTCATTCCCGATAGCCAGATACCCTTTAGCGATTTGTAGACCTGTCAAATGAGTGAGTCGAATCGAATATGGCCAGCCCAAATTGACCCTTTAAATTCATTTTCATGTAATACAAATGTAGTGACCTATACTTGACTTAATACATATCAAATCTATATTACTAAAACACTTTTATATATAACTCAATCTACAAAAAATCGTATCCAAACCAAGATTAGAGCGCGGAGTGAGTGAGCACGAGATCGAGTGAGGGCAAGAGAGAATTAAGATAGAGTCATAGATGTGAATTGTGTTTAGGGGTGAGCAAAAAGAATCGTCTGGATCAGACCAGATTGGCCAGTTCTCCGGAGCATCGGTTCGGTTCCCGATTTAAAAAAATTGAAATCGGTGATTTTCAGTTTAGTTCCTTCGCTCACTCGGACTGGACCGATTTTTTTAAAAAAAAATTTCTTACAAATATGTAAAGAACTCTAATCCTTCACAAACCTTTCTAACTCCTAATCACGATTGTCGTTCTCTGGACCCTCCATCAACAAACCCCAGGCCTCTTTCACAAAATCAATCTCTCACTCTTCTCACCTCTTGCTCGCTCGACTCTGACTGTCAGTCACTCTCTCGCTTGACTCTCAGATGCCACTCTCTCACTTGAGTCGCTCGCATCCCTTTCGCTGGATGCCTACGCTCGCTCAACTCTCAAACGCCACCCTCTCGCCTGAGTCGCTCACGTCCCTTGTACGCTCTTTGTTGCTACTGTTTCTTGGGCTCTTGCTTCTATCTCTACTGTAATACCCTTGACTGAGTGGGCTCCTGCTAGCTATCTTTATTCTGTCTATCTTTGTCCCTTTGAAGCTTTACTTCTTTCTATGATTTTCACTCGTGAATCAGCTTGTTTATATTGGTTGTTGAACTTGACGTCCTCAAGGACAGTTTTTTGTGATTTGCGCATTATTTGTAAAGAATTATGGACTACTTGCTTAAAAAAAAAGGACATGTAATTGGTTCTATTGGCCCACCCAGGAATCGAACTGGACCAGTCGATCCTGTCCAGTTCGATTTTTGGACCAGGCGGGCCGGTTCTCGATTTCAGAAACTAAGAACCGGGACTGGTCCCTCTACTTAGTTCCCAGTTCCTAGCAGGAATCGATTATCTCTAACTGGATTTGAGCAAGCTATGAACCCATTGAGAACCCATATTATTTTAGTCTTACCAATTTAAATTCATTTATGACCCATTTACTATATATAACTAGCCCATAAAACAAGCAGCCCATCAAAAATGAGTTTAAAAATGGTTCTATGGCCCATTATGATAGATCTAATGATTCGCATAAAGATTTCGCCTCTCGATTGTACTTGTAGCTCCATCGTGGATGTGAGCCTGTACAAACAGCTTGCTTAGGTGCATAGGCAAGCGTTAACTGAGTAGTAGATGCATAAGCTTCCTATGCAAAGTTGCTCAATTCATTAACCATGTCGGCCAAGTTGTGCCCCTCGACTCGAATATTTGTAAGAAATCAAGAAATCCCGAATCTTTATGGGGATTCTTGTGCGATCGCCGTACAATTCTGGTCATAAACGGGGGGCCACGCGATTCATGGGAGTAATCCTAGGTGACACCATCATTGAGTCGACCAATCAATAACGAGCAATCTGTTCATGCCTTAGCTTTTTCTGGTCGACGTTTCTTGTTTGACTTCACGTCTCGACGTCATAATTCTTGACTTCGCCGCTTACTAGTATCCCCTACGACAAGTCTCAGTCCAATCGTCGTTAAGCCCATCACGTGTGTAATGGATTGCTCGAACGTTGGGCGTCGGGGGGCGAAGGTTGAACGGGGTGCGAATCCTAAGTTAATGAAACTTCCCTGGAAAAGTCCAGCCGCGATCTAATCATGCTTACAGACCCGAGAAACTTCATATGGACTTGTGACTAGATCGAATGTGTATTTATCACGGGTTTTTTTCTAGGATTTGAGTATGTCAAGTCTTGATTCTAGTTTCTCTCTTCGGATCGCAAGACTTCACATCAAGATTCCCTTCCTTCCTTGTCTTTGCTTATCATCACTCCCTCTCTCTCCCTCTCTCTCTCTCTCTCTCTCCCCCAGAGATGGGTCATCTTCAGCATTTGAAGGAGGTGGTCCTTCTAGTTATGGCGATGGGCATGATGAGCAGGAGCTCTGGTGCAGTTGCCCGTGGTTCAATGAGAATGGTGGATGGAGTGAACAAGGAAGGCCCGTTCTTGGGGATTGTAGTGCCCAACTCCTTCGAGATGAACCCTCTTCTCCAAACTCCAAGCTTTGTCCCCAATGAAACTCTCCCTTACTTGGATATTGCTGGTAACTGAAGCGCATGAATACTACATATCACATCCATTATTCATGCATCGAGTCATCTCTTTCCTTTGCTAATTCTCTGGTTCTTGTTCATGATTTCTTTATCTGAAGAACGCTGGAATTAGTTGGCTCCTTTGGGCGACATATGGTTTGCAATATGTTCTAGATATGTTTCAATGTTTGCAATGCAGGAAGAAGGTTTCGGATTGGACGGCTCGAAAACGAGAAAGTGATAATCGTCATGACGGGGTTGAGCATGGTACGTGCAAGATTTTGATCTTCATGTGTCCTTCATGTTCCTTTTTCTTGTTTCGATATACGAAAATGAGAGTGTTGATGAGAAGAAGTTGCTGTATGAAGCTAAATGCAGGTATAACCACAGAGTTGCTCTTGACTCAGTTCAATGTGAATGGTGTGCTTCACTATGGAATTGCAGGGAATGCAAATCCAAATCTCCAAATTGGGGATGTGACAATCCCACAGTATTGGGCTCATTCAGGCCTTTGGAATTGGCAGGTCTATTTCGAGCTCTTGATATTTTTCAAACTTTTTTCATTTGAGTCCTTATTTAAATGCAAAGTTCTTTACATATATAGGACATAAGTTTGGTAGAAAACTCGAAAGCAATTTAGGTTATATCACAAGCAAATGCGTCGTGTAAGTTCGATGCTAGATGCATGCACTTAGGGTCAATGTGTCCATTTTTTGGGTGATGTGTCATCACATCATGAAATTTATTGGCTCTCTAAAGTTACCTCTGATTGTAGAGTATCCAATTTCTTGACAATCACTTCTGTAGTAGTTATTCTGAAAGAAGCATATGTCTTATAAACTTAAAAGTTAGAAGCAGATCTGAACATATTGTGGGCTTTACTCAAATGGGACAGGTAATTCTCAATGTAGAGATAGATGTTCATCCCTTTAAGCCCCAATCCTAAAATGTTTTTCCTGTTTTCTGACTGAAAGCAGAGGTTTGGGGATGGGCCTAGCACAGAGCTAGCATTTGAATCAGATGGGGACTACACTAGGAAAATTGGGTACCTCAACATCACCAGTTTCAACGATCACACCAGCAATGGCAAGGCTGACCAGAATCTCCTCAACAATGTCTGGTACCAGCCTGAGGAAATCTTCCCCGTCAATGGAGTCCCCGAAGTCCGACAGCACGCCTTTTGGGTCCCCGTCGACAAGCACTATTTCACCGTCTCGAAGAAAATCAAGGTAAATTCCGAGCCACACATTGAAGCTCAAAAACTATCTTGTTTTGCGAAAACGTTTAATCGATCGCAGTTTTCAAAGTTAAGTATGTCAAGGAAATCCGCACCAAAAGAGCATGGAATATATATGTTTCCGGAACATGTAAGTTCTCTCTTTATGCTAATACTTTGTTCATTGACACGACTAGGGCTTGAAGCTGGGGCAATGTGTGAACTCGACATGCTTGCCAAGGGCACCAATGGTGGTGAGAGTGGAGAGAGGGGTGACTGCCAATGTGTTTTTGGACAACAGTGCTTACAGGCAATTCTTGTACTCAAAGTTCAATGCCACTGCCATTGACATGGAGAGTGCCTCCATTGCTCTGGTCTGTCGCCAACACAAGATGCCATTTATTGCGATCAGGTCCCTCTCTGATTTGGCTGGTGGTGGGTCTGCTCTCTCCAATGAGGCCTCTATTTTTGCCTCCTTGGCTGTCCAAAATGCAGTGGATGTTCTTCTTAGGTTCATTGCTTTGTTATCCTCATCATGATAAGATGACCCCCCTACACTCATGTGTTCTTAGGACATTCGCGTTTAGTGATTGTAAGAATTGTTGGGTTATCCATCAATAATTGATGACAAAATTCAAAGGATGGTTTAAGTATCTACTTTTGATGTGTAAATCAGTATAAAGTAGAGATGTTTGGGGATCCAAACGAGTGGTGACTTACCAACTTGACTTATTTTTAGTTAACTTTCTTACCGATCATTTAAATTTATCAACTATTAAATGAAATTATTAATTTTTATTCGGTGACTTTTCAACTTCATTCCCGACTAAATAATCAAATAGAAAAAGTCAGTAAATTGAAAAGGGATCGCACTTTTTCTAATCATCTTTAGCTTAAACACTCACATTTTTTTTGCATTTTGACCATATTATTCCTTGTATGAATCACTACTTCTCTTACAATTCTATGAAAGTGGTCCCTTGTTTTGTTTAGTCAACTCTTTTTTTTTTTGTTGTTCTTTTTTTCCTTATAGGTCCCACCTTCCTTCTTCTTTGTTCTTTCCATACCTTTGAGGTTTTAGTTCTCAGCTCTTACAAATTTTCTCTCGTATTCTCTTCTTTCTATCAAGTCGTAGGGCATTGAGAAGTTGAATATCTATTATGCCAATCCCGTCGTCCTCCGCACTTTCGCTGGTATAGGCATTGGGCTCACTATTGACCTCCCTAACGAGCCCCTTTTCTCCACCACACGCTGCCCGAACAATTTCATACTTGTTAGGGGTTTGTGTGGTTTTGTGGACTAATGAATCGCTGCTTGAATAAATCCGTATTTGTTTTGATTTGTTTCGTGAGCATGTTAGGGAGATCTTTGCTCTAACTATTGATTTAGAAGCACAAGCTGGAAGGAAAATAGAAAGCAAAAATTGTCGGAGAAGCTCTTTTAATAGTATTGTCAATGGAGAGTCATTATCCGTCGACATTGTTTTCCATGGACTTTGGATTTTTGTCTCACAATGAATTGGAGAGAGAGATAGATTGTGATGATCCGGTCCAACGAGGGTAGGGAATGGTCGTCGGGGCCAGAGGGCTTGGATAAGGAGCGGCTCATAGCAGGCTTCTACGATGGCGAAAGGGGTACGAACCAAACTATGCACTGTATAGTAGAAAAGCAATTTTGAAATGTGTGTGTGTGAAAACTGGAAATAAGTCACGGATGTACCTTTTGACGTAACGGCAATACTTAGTTTTGGAACCCTAAAATCAAGCATGCTCAAGTGGGAGCACTACTAGAATGGTTGACCTCTTGAGAAGGACAAAACCGTGGGTTTCGGTATGAGACGAGCCAAAGAGTTAAATCCACCTCCCCTGTCATCATGGCCTAGTCCACCTCCTTTGGCTTAAAACAACCCTTGTGATATTTTAGATGTTGGTTTGGGACCAGAACTTTACGAAACATGGATGACTATTAATATCCCAAAAGGGGGGCGTAAGAGCAACAAGCGTCTTGATAGTGTGTGGAGCGCCTAGTTTTTCTTTCGTTTCTACTTCGGGCATGTTTTGAATGAACCATCAAAGTCCAAAATAGCTCAAGACTGTAATGGTGTGTTCGACTTCGAGAAATCAAACTTGCAGCTCGATGCTTTCTTGGTTCAGCACGACATGGAAAACATTTACATGTGGGTTTTCCAAGAAATGCCTGAAAATGCTCTTAGCAAGATGCAGCTGAGAATTTACATGAACGAGCACAGTCAACAAGGGGAGCGTTCATTTCCCTTTAGTGTGGATAGGGGTTGTGTGTGTTCTCATAGGATGTTGAGGAATCACTACCGTGGCCTCTCCAATCCCCATTGCATTCATGGGATTGAAATTGTGCGGTGAGCCCAATGCCGGTGCTAGAGAAAGTGTGGAGGACGATGGGGTTGGCATCATAGATATTCAACTTCTCAATGCCTTGCAACTTGAGGAGTAGGGAGGCATAGAAAGAAGAAAATGTGAGAGAAAATAGAGAGACAATTTGCAAGAGTCGAGAACTGAGGCATGAAAGGCGTGGAAAGAAAGAAGAAGAAGGAAAGTGGGACCTGTAAGGAAAAAAGAAGAAACAAAATAAAAAGAGTTAACCAAGCAAGAAAAATGGATCACTTTTGGAGAGTTGTAAAAAAAATGGTGGGCCATACAAGGGATGGTATGATCAAAACGCAAAAAAAAAATGTTTAAACCAAAGGAAGAGTGGAAAGAGCGCGGCAGAAAAATAAAAGTTAGTAACTAACTCATATGAGAGTTGGTAACTCAGAATTAGTTGATAACTTAATTGGAGAAATTAATAAAATTAATTATAGTAATTTCATATAAAATTTTGTAAATTTAAGACATAATTAGAAAAGGTAAATAAAAGTTAGTAACAAGTAAGAGACATTGTTAATTAAAAGAAGAATAAACTCGTTATATATCTCAAATGAAGTTTCTAATCCAAAACTTATCAATAACTTAATTAGAGAAAAGTCGGTAATTCAGTCTAATTAAGATTGGACGATTCTAAAATGATTTGGTAAATTTAAGGCATCGCTAAGAAAGGACCATAAAAACTTGTAAACGATGGAAAAGTTGGCAAATGAAAATATCCGAATACACTTGGATAAGTAACTTAATTGAGAGTTGCTAGCAAAATACGATGTGGTAATTTTATGGGAAAAAAAGTTAGTGGGACATGCTAATTTAGGTTAATAATCTCTTAAAAAAGTTTGTAAACGTAAGTGCTGTTAACCAAGGCAAATAAAAAAAATTGGTTACTCAATAGAAAAGTTGATTTGGATTAAAAAAAAATCAAACGTAACTCAAAGGACATTTGGTAACCTAAAACTAATCGGTGATATAATCTGATAAAAGTTAATAAATCAATCTAATTTCGGTTGGTAACTTCATATAAGAGTTAGTAAATTTGAAGTGTTGGTAAGTTATGCAAATAAAAGATGATAAGCTAGCATAAAAATTGTTAATTCATGAACTAAAATGATCTTGGTAATTCCGTAGATATTTTGCTAAGTTACCAACATGTTACCCGGAAAAAAAAAATCACCAGTCCTTTTTATTTGCCAGGACTAGTCATTTATTTTCTATTGATAGTTTCTTACAATTACCAACACTTGCTGAGATTTATCGGCATGGAAAAAGAAATCCCACTTTTGGACAACTCGAAAAGTTTCAAAAGTTTAAACTGATTAAAGGGGGGGAAAGGGGCAAATCAAAAGGGTGTGTTTAAACCTTTTTGACTAGACCAAATTTCCTGCATAATCGCAAATCGCATCCACGTCGACCACTCATATAAGTAACGGCTCAACCTTAAGGGTGGTGCAGACACACCTGCGCAGGTTACTAGTGACACTTACGAGAATGGCAGGGAAGTGAACGGTATCGGACGACATTCATACGACATCTTGATGGAGGACACAGGTTATAATGATCGGCTTTTATTCGACAAGATTTTAGGTGTCTGATTATTCGTGGCTTCGCAAGCTAGAATCCCATCTTAACATTGGCTCTCCCTCTCCCGCCCTCCTCACTTCAACAGTGCGTGAATTGCGGGGAAAATAACCAATTCAATTCTAAATTGATAATACAAATGCCAATTTGGTCCGGAACTTTTCCTAAGCCTTTGTGTATTCCAATGATATCCTTCCGGTCAGATGCTGCCGGAAATCGCTAATGTGGTGATCCACAAGTTGTCCACATCAATTTGCCAAGTAGGACGCCCAGCTAGTGATTACTCGACTCTATATCAGCAATTTCCGGTGACTATTGATCGGAAGGACTACATTCGAATTTTGCACAATGATTTAAGACTAAATGGGCAAAATGAAAAAAATTTAGAACTGAATTGGTAAGCATACAATAAGTTTATAACTAATAAGATAATTATCCTAAAATAAATATATAGCATGTCAAACAACCACGACTCCTCTCTCTATGCTTCGTTTTCTTCGATCTCTGATCATGTGGAGGGGAGAGTTTTGACTTTTGAGTAATAAGGTCTCTCCCTCCTCTCCCTATCTTGTTTTTTTTTTTTATTATTAAAAAATAGTTTGGGGTAAAATTGTCACAAGTGTACCAGTTTAGGGTTTTTTGTGGTATTAACCCTTAAATTTTATCAGATGTCTCCAAAGAGACAACAAAATTGTCACAAGTGTACCTATCTTGTTGATTTTGCTTCTTCTTTTTTTTTTGTTCTTACTTATCTCCCTTCGGATTTAGATTTGGGACCTCTCCTTGTTTAAGCTTTCAGGGATTCGATCCCCCGTGCTCCATCCATTTACAAGTCCAAGTTCAACGGTGATCGCACAAACTCTACATCTTGCACTTGAGAAAGGGCTCGATCTCACAGGAGTCAAATTCATCTTCGTTTAACCCGTCTTTATTGTCTCTGTATGGCGATAGCATTGAGGACGCCTAATGTGGGCGCACACCGCCGATTGACAAAGCCGTAGCTAGAGAGGGAGATCATGGTGTGTGCTCATCACTGATGACAATACAACATTCGGTGATCAACCATCGATCGTTTTACTTTGATGCAGTCACGGATTGTTCTTACAATACGAGAACCCTGCTAACTTGGCTACGATGATCCACTTTGATATATTGGTTTTGTTTTGCTTTCCAGCTTTCTGGGCTTTGCTTCGTTTGGAAGCCTTCAGGAATTTGCTATGTATCTCTCATGTACCATTTTGAAAATGAATGAACTTTTCTTTTGACAAAAAAAAATATTTTGATAAATCGCTTCCGAACCCCATTGGCCGGTTAATAAGGAATTTTTAATTTTTTCAAAAAGCTTCCCTTTTTTTTTTTTATTGGGCAGTGAAAGGAGTGGTCCGGTAGGAACACAATGCGGGTGACTGATTCCATGCCACCCAAGGATGAAGACAAGTTTGATTCTCTTCCTCCTTGTTATCTTATGGAGAGTCATCACTCGTATTAAATTCTTGTCTTTCGACCTTTAAACAACTTTTCACAACAACTAGTCATCGAACAACGAGGTCCGAAATCCGCCGTGATGGAATCCACAGCCGACATGACGCGTCGGGACTCTTAACTTTAAAATCACATCAATTCAAATGGAACTTAACTATGCTCGTTTCGCCGAACAAATTTATATTTCAAGATATTATGTACTAACGAAGCATCGTACCATCTATGTTCCCCTCTATATATATATATCATGTAATGTGGGTGGTTGGACCTAAATTTTAGGAATATTGTGACCGACACTCACATATTTCAAAACTAGAATAGATCAGACCCACGAGGGACTAGCTGACTAATATTAAAATGGGCAAGTACTAGCCACTTAATTAGTATTGCATTCGGAATTTTTCTTAATATTCTTCTTATCGAAAATGTAAAAAAGTGCCACTCCTCTAAGACACTTGTTAAGCCTTATTAAATAAAGAACCAAAAATTTTCCATAAATTCTCCAAAATGCTTACTTCTCAAATTTTCAGAGTCCCTCGAAAATCGTTATATTCATGTGCGAGTTAATTGAATTTGCGCTCACGAGACATTTATTAACAAGACCGATTCCTTATTTAATAGTGATGCTGGTAATTTTGTTATTAGGCCGGGTGCGGTTGATTATCCATCCTAATAAGTAATAAGAGACTCAATTAGTGAGGCCTAAGGGCCACTTTAAATTACCTGTATCTCACTTCTTAGGACTGCTCTCGACAAGGGAAAAGAAGCTGATAAGGTTTCCAAGAAAATAAGTCTGGAGCCATCAGTTACAATCATATCAGCAAGGGAAAGTACATTGGTAAACAAGAGTGACATATTAAAAGACTTAGTTGTCCGAAATGAAGTCATGTTCTTGCCATGCTAGTGTTTTGCAGTTCTATGAGACAAGACTAGCATCCTTAACCAAGTTTAGCAGTTCATCTAACAATCAAAGTGCGTTCTTCGTTGCCGCAATCAACGAAGCCTTGACATCCGCAATTCCATTATTTTGCCGAGCTCGAATTGTACCGGAACCAATCTGCAGCGCTTCAGGTCCGATCAGTTATATTGGACATCCACGATGCACATTTCTTGCTTGATACAGTGCAATCTCCCATCCCTCTTGGTTAGCTGCCTCCATTAGATTCCATTTCCAGTTTATTACAGTCCAAGAGAAGAACCAGACAGAGCCAATCTTCTAGAGGAATTATCATAATGCAAATGTTACGTCCGTCATGGTCAAACTAAGCTATTTGGATGACCGGTTGGAATGAAGATGAAACCGTCCCTTGTTTTCATCCATGATATAAGGCAAAAGCTTCCTGACCATCTCTCTTGTTCTCTCTATTACTCTCTCTCTCTTCCAGAAATTTCAATCTCAGGCCCTGAGTCCTGGAAATAGCACAGAGAGAGCCATGGAGATTGCTTCAGACAAGGCCAATGAAGCCAAACAGGTCACAAGCAAAAAGGGTGGACTCAAGACCATGCCCTTCATCATAGGTCACTTCTTAATCACGCAATTCTCTTTATCTGCTCACAAGTCACAAGCAGAGTGTTCTTGTTTTGAACTCATTCATTTTCTTGTTCTCTGAGAAATTTGATAACAGAGTCTCAGTTTTGTTCAGTTTGTGTTCTTGGAGATTGTTTTAATGATCTGACAATAAATATCATAAATCTAAATGTTGATGCAGCAAATGAGATATTAGAGAAGGTTGCTGGGTTCGGGCTACTTCCGAATATGATCTTGTACTTGATTTTTAAGTATCACTTCAATGCCGCTTCGGGTGCGAATGTCCTCTTCTTGTGGTCAGCCATATCAAACTTCACGCCCATTCTAGGCGCTTTTCTTTCCGACTCTTGCTTGGGTCGGTTCCGTGTCATCGGGTTCGCATCGGTCATCAGCCTTCTTGTAAGCACCAATTGCGTGTGTTCCAAAGCAACGAACTCAGTTTCACTATACTAGTGTTCATGATGTTCTCTTTCTTATGTATCTTTGTTAATTTGTTTTTCTTTCATCAGGGCATGACCCTGTTGTGGTTGACAGCCCTTCTCCGAGATGCCCACCCTCCACCGTGCGACCTAAGGAGCAAAACCTGCGAATCCCCAACTTCGGCACAGCTCCTGCTTCTGTTTTCCTCTTTCGCCCTCATGTCCGCCGGGGCGGGCGGAATCAGGTCGTGCTCCCTAGCATTCGGGGCAGATCAGATCGACAATCCCGATAACCCCAAGAACGGGCGGATCCTGCAGACGTTCTTCAACTGGTACTATGCATCGGTCGGGGTTTCGATCATGATCGCAGTAATTGTGATAGTTGACATCCAGAATTCGTATGGTTGGGTGATCGGATTCGGGGTTCCGGTGGGGCTCATGTTTGTCTCAGTTGTGAGCTTCTTCTTGGGATCTTCACTCTATGTCAAAGTGAAGGCGGACAAGAGCCTCTTCACCGGCCTTGCTCAGACCATAGTAGCTGCCTGGAAAAAGAGGCACTTGGAGTTGCCCAACATGAGCCATGATGCCGTGTATTACCATCACAAGGGCCCCAATATTACTACACCAAGCGAGAAACTGAGGTAATTGTACTTTGGAATCATCACGCAGTCATTTGTGCGGAAAGTCAGTTTGTTCCGCAACATCAGATAAGGCTGGCAATTTTAGACATGACCCGTTCGCTCAACTTGGGGGCAACATGCGATCAATGTTCCGCGGGTTCTTTATCTATTTATATGCGTTTACACACATTTACTTAAATGGGTTAACATGTTATTGTTACCAACACGATGAGTTTACATATATACAGATACACTAATATGTTTTTAAGCATATCTTTGCACATTTACAAAAATTTAGATTCTGGGAATGTTAAGATATCTTTCTGTGTAACCTATTCAATGGACATGTTGAGTTTGAATTTCAAAATTATGACACCATTAGTATAAGCGTAGTCTTAATTTAACATGACATGATAATGGCCCAAAGATATGAATTAACAAAGTTTTTATCAGGTGGTGGATGAAAAATTGAATCTTTTATTTCTCTCTCCACAGGTTCCTAAACAAGGCTTGCCTTATGAACAATCCTGAGAAGGACCTGGACTCCGATGGATTGGCCATAGATCCGTGGCGACTCTGCACAGTCAAGCAAGTTGAGGTGCTCAAAGCCCTGATCAGGGTCCTTCCCATCTGGTCCACGGGCATCATTATCGGCGTGACCATAAGCCAGGGCGCCTTCCCGGTCCTCCAGGCGAAGACCATGGACCGACGCTTCCTCTTCGGCATCAAAATCGCCCCGGGCTCCTTCGGCGTCTTCAGCCTCCTGACACTCACGATATGGGTCGGGATCTACGACAGGATCATCATCCCCCTAGTCTCGAGGTTGACCAAGCGGCCCCGCGGGCTCACCTTCAAGGAACGGATGGGAATCGGGCTCCTCATCTCCTGCATAGCCATGTTCGTGTCAGCTGCGGTGGAGCACAAGCGGCGAGCCGAGGCGATCCGGGAAGGGTTTGGCGAGAACCCGCGTGGGGTCCTGAAGATGTCTGCGATGTGGATCGTCCCACAGCATTGCTTGACCGGGCTAGCAGAGGCATTCAACGCAATCGGGCAAATCGAGTTCTACTACTCCCAATTTCCCAAGAGCATGTCAAGCATTGCGGTGGCGCTTCTTACCCTTGGAATGGCAGTGGGCAACTTGGTTGCAAGTCTAATTGTGAGCATCTTGGACCACTTGAGCAAGAGAAGTAAGGATGGGACATGGATTTCCACAAACGTGAACAAGGGTCACTATGACTATTACTACTGGATCTTGGCGGGTTTGAGTGTGATCAATTTCTTCTACTTCCTCGTATGTGCTTGGGCTTATGACGGTGGTGAGGAGCGAAAGGTTTGGGTTGAGGATGAATTGGAGGATGATCAAGAGAGTCATCAAGCGTCTCCAATGAAAATTCATGCTTGATCTTTACTACTTGTTGGCTACATAATGCCGATGTTTTGGCTGAGTGTGTAACTGGTTGAATCTCAGTGCCAATGATGTATCGTTGATGCGTGATCTACCAAGCATGCACTTAGCAAGCCAGAATCAATCTTAACATGGACTCTCCCTCCCGCCCTCCTCACTTCAATTGTGCATGAATTGTAGGGAAAATTATCAATTCAGTCCTCAATCTATAGTACGAATACCAATTTAGTCTGAAACTTTCCAATTTTATCAATACAGTCCTAAACCTTACTACATTCTAATGATACCCTTCCAGCCAATTGTTGCTGAAAATCGCTAATGTGATGATTCACAGTTTTCCACATCAATATACCATGTAGGATGGCCGGCCAGCAATTACTGGATGCCATGTCCGCAATTTTCAATGACTATTGTTCGGAAGGACTACATTGAAATTTTGTGCAAAGATTTAAAACTAAATTGGCAAAGTGAAAAAATGGAAAACTGAATTAACATCTATGTAATAGGTTTATGACTAATTGGATAATTATCCTGCAAAAAATGTACAGCATGTCAAACAACTACATGCCCTTCTTTCAACCTCTTGTCATGGAGGGGAGAGTTTAAGCTATCATAATAAGTCTCTCCCTCCTCTCCCCTCTTGTTGATTTTGCTTTCTTTTTTTTTTTGTGTTCTCGCTCGTCTCCCTTCTAATCTAGATTTGGAAGCTCTCCTCATTTATGCTTTCAAGGATTTGATTCCCCATTGCTTCGTCCATTTACAAGTCCAGCTTCAATGGTGATCGCAGAAGCTCTGCGTCTTGCACTTGCAATAGGGCTCGATCACATTGGATTTAGCTCCATTTTGGTTTAACTCGTTTTAGTTGTCTCTGTATTGCCATGATGTTGAGGACACCGAACATGGGCGTGTACCGTCGAATGGCAAAGCCATAGCTGGAGAGAGAGATCTTGGTGTGTGCTTATCACTAATGATGATGCAAGATTTGATGATCAGCCGCCGATTGTTTTGCTTTGATGCAGTCACAGTTCTGTTCTTACGGTATGAGATGATGTTGGCTAACAGTATCATTTAGAGTAGGTGAATAGGTGATTTCAAAATAAAAATTTAACAAAATATTGCAGAATTAAAAGCGTTAAGTTTGATATAATTATAACCGGGTAATACAGTGAATTGATATAATGCAAACTGGTTATATCAAGCAATACAATGCAGTGTGTTCCTATCCAGCAATAAATGAATATGAACAAGGAGATAAAGAACAATGGACACAGAGCTTATAGTAGTTCGGCTTAATGTAATATTGCATCCTACACTCCCACACTAACAACTTACGGATTGGATTCCACTAGAAATCTTCTTGAAGTTAGAGTAGAATGTACCGCTTATACTCAAGCACTTCTCCTCGAAGCTAGTGTTACTTATATCTAAACTGATGGATTTCACTATCTCACACCTAATCACAAATTATAACTCTGCCAACGCTTCTAAAAAGATTACAAGTTTTTAATACTCTCATAAGACAATGAAAGAAGATAAAAGCTTTCTCTGAAATTGGAAATTGCACCCTCGATCAATATTCTTCTCCTGGCGTCCTGTTGATCTCCTTTAATACTCCTTTGCATCCAATCTTCCCATTGGACAATCGTCGAGGAAAATCAAAATGGCCGTTGAAGTGTATCAATCAAAATTTCGTGGATTTGGTCATCTATACAATCAAATCTTGATCTCCAGAAATAGAATAGCTCTAGTTATGGAAAGTATCTTGTCTTCCGGAAAATTGTCAATCAATCAAGATATCTTGCGTGATTGAATATTTCGCATAGATAATCTTTAGGGTTAATACCACGAAAAACCCTAAACTGGTACACATGTGACAAATTTACCTCAAACTATTTTTTTGACCACAAAAAATCTCAAACTAGTACACCTGTGATAATTTTACCTCGAACTATTTTTTTGACCACCAAAAACCCAAAACTGGTACACCTGTGATAATTTTACTCTTAACTAATTTTTTAATATTATTTTTTACTTTTTCGAATTTTTTTATTTTTTATTTTTCCTTTCCTTTTCTTTTTTTTTCCTTCATCTTCTTTATCTTCAATCTATGGCCGGTCGCTAGTCCGACGATCGGCTAGAGGCGGGGACCGACGAGGTCGACCTCGCCCAGAAGCGGCGAGGTTGAGCCTCGCCAGCGACGGCGAGGACGACCCCTCGCCGGCAATCGGCGAGGTCGGCCTTGCCCACCCCTGGCGAGGTTCGACCTCGCCAGTTACCGGCGAGGGGTCATCCTCGCCGTCGCTGGCGAGATTCGACCTCGCCGCTTCTGGGCGAGGCCGACCTCGCCAGCCACTGGCGAGGTTCGACCTCGCCAGGAGTGGGCAAGGCCGACCTCGTCGGACCGGTGATCGGCCATAGGTTGAAGATAAAGAAGATGAAGGAAAAAAAAAAAAAGAAAGGGAAAGAAAAGAAAAGAAAAGAAAATTTAAAAAATTCAAAAAAGTAAAAAATAATATTAAAAAATTAGTTCGGGGTAAAATTGTCACGGGTATACCAGTTTTGGGTTTTTGGTGGTCAAAAAAATAGTTCGGGGTAAAATTATCACAGGTGTACCAGTTTGAGATTTTTTGTGGTCAAAAAAATAGTTTGGGGCAAATTTGTCACAGGTGTACCAGTTTAGGGTTTTTCGTGGTATTAACCCTAATCTTTAAAGTTGATGGTTAATGAAAATCTTCTAAATTAAATATGCATACCAGATTACAAGCCGTCAAGGGAAGAGATAAAATATTTCAAATAATGTTGAAGCATGTGGCAAGATTGTTAGCGCATGTAGTGTAGATGCTCCACTTATATTAGCAGTCTCTAATTATATTAAGCTTCCCGGTTATAAGATAATATCAGACTTTTCGCCAGTCTTCTGCTTACATAAGATTGCTTCTCATTAGGCACTTCGAGTACAATAGTGATGTACATCGAGTAGGCTGTTTCCTTCGTATCTCCATGTCTTTATAAACTTGCCATTCTTCTAGACTTGTTCACATTGATCCGTCCTTCTAGCTATATAGAATCTTTCCACTCATCATCTCAAGTTTCCTTTTTACACGGATACTACTTGAAACACAAACAACTTCGTGCATATATCAAAGTCTCAATAAATTATGGATAGTTTTGTCAACTTCAAAATATATTAGGAGATTTTCTTAGCACGAGACTCCTGCCAACTTTGCTCTAACGATCCACTTTGATCTCTGGATTTTGTTTTGTTTTCCAAGTTTATGGGCTTTGCTTTGCTTTGCAGCCTTCTAGAATTTGCTATGTGTCTCTCAAGTACCGTTTTGGAAATGAATGAACTTTTCTTATGGAAAACAAAAGCATGTTTTGAGGAATCGCGTCCAAACCACATTAGCAGGTTATAAGGAATTTTTGTTTTTGTTTTATTGGGCAGTGAAAGGAATGGTCCGGTAGGAACACATTGCATATGGCGCTTAGCTACAAATCCTTTTCACGCCACCCAAGGTTGAAGACAAGTTTGATTCTCTTCCTCCTTGTCATCTTATGGATAGTCATCACTTATATAATATTCTTGTCTTTCGAGTTGTAAACTACTTTTCACACACTAGACAGTCGAACAACGAGGTCCAAAATCCGCCTCAATGGAATCCATAATCAACACGATACGTTAGGACTCTGACATCAAACAAATTGGATCGATTCAAATTGAACGTAACTTCATTGATTCCGTCAAACGAATTCGTTTTTCATTGCGCCGCTTAAAATGCGAGGTATCATGTACTAACAAAGCATTGCATCTGCCCCTCTCCCTCTATCTATCGAGAATCTATATTGTATACCTATCATGTAATGTGAATGGTGTACTTGTCTACGAGACTCTTCGTACAATTTGAGTGTGCTGTTGGAACTGAGGTGAAAAAGGAGGGATTGTGTCAAGTGATGGTACGGTAGTTTCTCAAATAGCCACCTTCAAGTACATTTTTTTGGTGCTCACCAATGTGCTAATTATTTTCCCATTATCTGATTATTTATTGCTGCCAATATTTTTTTGGGAATATGTGAAATTATTGTCGACCCAGGTTAGCAGAGCAAATATTAAAAACTATTTGATTCTTGCTCTAGGAAATTGTTATTTTTATAGAGAGCTAATTTGATTTGTGCTCGCGAGGCATTTGTTAATGGTCTGATTTCTTATTTAATAGTTATGCTCGTAATTTCGTTAGTATTGCGGGTCGGATTGATTGTCCATCCTAATAAGTGATAATAAGACTGAATTAGTGAGAACTAAGGACCACTTCAAACTGAGAAAATTATTTAAAATTGTTGAGGAAAACTCCTATTAATTTTGAAGTTGACAAAACCTTCTATGTTATTGTAAATCTGATACTTATTCTGAATTATTCCAGGTCCGTATATTCCGGAAGCTCGAAGAAAGTTATTCGACTTTACAAGCTGTCAAGTATATTTTTGAAGACCCACATAATCGAAGTTCCGAGATTCTGAAGCGTAAGATATTCAGATGCAGATGAGTTATTCGGATGCAAATGCGACGAAGAAATTATTCAGACGAAGAAATTCGTCGACGAAGAAATTATTCGACGCAGAAATTCTTCGACGCTTGACGCAGGAGTTCTTCCGATGCGACGCAAAATATCTTCGACGTTGATAATCGTAACATAACATAACAGCTAGTGATCCGGTATGGATTTCACGAAGGAATGTTCGATTGTCTCAATCAATCAAACCGATTGACAATCAAACATCATGACAAGAATGCATTACAACGGACAAAGTTCTACTTATGGAAACCAAGATTCGATTGTATGGGCGATAGAATCCGCGGATTAGATCCACAACCAACGGCTACTCAATTTCTTACTATACAAATCGTCCAAGGTAAAGATTGGAAGATGATCCTCCGAAAGCTGTCCAACGGCTAGTTTGGAAGCATAGGAGTATTTAAGGAGATCAACGAGCAGCGGAAGGAAGTACGAATCAAGAATCAACAAGTCCAAAGTCGAGCTTAATCCAATCATTTTTCTCTTGTCATTCGAGCCAAATATTAAGATCTTGAGGGACACTTTGTAAGAGTGATTGTGTGAGATAGAGAGTCCTATCATACACAAGAGTGTTAACACTCAGAAGTTGTAATTCCTCTTGATTACATAGTGAAATCCACAAGTAGGTACGAAGCGTGGGAGAGTGGACGTAGGCTTGCTATAAG